AAATATACGTATTTAATAACAGGGTGGACAAATGGGTTTCTTGAACTCTACAGATTACTCAATGTTCGGATTTTCGCTCAGAATAAAGATTTTTTACCCCAAACTTCCATCGCCTCTAAAACGTGATAATGGTGATAAGGGTGCATGGATAAAATAAACCTCTTCACTTTTTAATCATGTGACATTCATAAAACATAGATGGGGTTGCTGTGCCCCATATTAGAGGGAGGTTTGCTTAGCAATATTTTGGTATGACGTCAGATCACTTACACGATCATTTTGGAGCATGCAGCAGTTTGAGTAATTTCCTATTTTGTAAAGCTGTGACCTATGAGATCAAGAATTGATTATGAAATTCTATAATCTAACGAAAAAATTAAATATTTATTTTACTAAATTTATTATTTTAATTTTGCCATACATTTTCACAGGCAAGATTAAATGTATGTGATAAATATTTTAAAGTGTTTATTGTTAAGAAATATATTAACCCAAAAATATTTTTGTACGAGAATTAGAGACAGGGACATTAAATGAGAATTTATTAGATTTAAAGTAGTTTGAAAGTGCTTTTAAAAATGCATAAAAAATCTATGTGCAATTGTCCAAAGAGTACACACTCAGCTTATTTTCACATACAGATTATTTATTGTACCATATTTTTTGGCATTTTCAACTAAACTTATGAATACAGTCTTCTCAGTAGTTTATAATGTTTTAGAAATTTATGATAAATTTGTCCATTTTTTAAGCCACACGTGCTTAAGAATATTCATAAATTATCTTTAATACTGATCTTGCGGCTAAACAAAAAAGTAACTCAGAAATTATTCGAAAATGTGTCTTTGTTTAGAGCAAATTCAATTTTGAATTAAATCAAATAAATAGGATGCACAAATTTAATCCTTTTTAACATTTTGTGTACAAATTTTTCAAAAATTCAATATCTCAATTATTAAAGGAAATTTCAGAACACGGTTTTCAGCACTGTTTTCAGCTTACAAAACCCCATAAATTATACCAGATATATCGTCGATTTTTTTTATTAGAAACGATACACAGTAAAAAAAGCTTGTCATAGAAGTTGCTAACTTTTATTTTTATTATATCTCAGTCCCAACAAATAAATTCAAAAATAGACATAGCACGATTTCTAAAGTTTTGCAAGCTGAAAATAGTGGTGACAACCCTGTTCCAAAATTTCCATAAATAACTGAAATATTGATTCTTTTTAAATACGTGATGCAAAAATTTCAATAAAATTTAAAAAATATATTAATAAATTTCATAACAATAGGTGTGTTAATAATAGAGATATATTACATTCTGAAAATATATTGGCAACACCATAAGAACCAAACGTAGCGACTGCTCTTAAGAAAAACTTTATTCTTTATTGTAATTTTTATTTATTACAGTATTTTCCAGTAACAGAGTTGTATCAGTTAATTTCGTTGTGTGTTTAATTGTTTCACATTTATCATCTATTTTGTCTCTTTTGTTGCTTTAACAATTATTTGCGGTTAAAATTTTTATATTACTTTTTAGAACTAGGATTTTTAATCCACTGATCAATAGAAAATAATTCTATACATAGATAAAACATCATCAACAACAAAAATTGTTGCTGATGATTTTGAACCGACTTTGAGTACAAATTTTTATGAAATTTTTAGTTTATCTAACTTTTATGGTAATCGTTTTGACGAAGTAACGAATTTATAATTAAGTTTGTATTTCTTAAATAAAATAAAAATAAAATAACTGTTAAATAAAACTCCAACTAAAACAAAATTAACAAATTTAATTATTTTTAACTTCATAGATTTTTTCGTGCTACCATAATTTTATTTTTAAGATGTTCAACTTATTTTATTTATATTCAGGTCTGGAGTTTGATTTTCTTAATATTTCTTTGAAAAAGAAAAAATATAACATTTTACAACTAATAATAATAATCCAAAGTATAAAAACCATAACTTTAAACAGCAAAAGTATGAATTGTTGGTAATATTTTTTTAATATATAAAATCTAAAAAATTATGAAATGAGCTGGCAAAGAAAAGAAACATATTTTTAGCTTTTGTCAAAACAAAGCAGTTAAAAAGCATATATAAAAAATATTAGTTATTATTTAAAATCTTATTGTTGTCTTGTATAATTTATGAACAAAATGGTCAAAATTGACAAATGTTAGTTTTTAAAATTTCTAAAAGGAAGAAGAAAGAAATTTTATTTAAAAAAAAATAGTGATAAAAAACTTTGTGCTGCAACATCATCAAAATTCGATGTATAAAAACTGATTTTTTTTATATTTTCTATTATTTGGAATTAAAACTCTAAAAGTTCCAAAAATAATAAAAATTTATGAGTTTTAGTGGTGGTTATTCATAGAAAAATTTGCCTCGTCCCTGAAGTACAGAACAACAAATACAGATTCTTCAAAAATTATAAAAATTGTTTTTACAAATTTCATTTTTTCTTGTGATGATAACCCCACATAAGTTAAAAACATCGAGACGGTTTCATAAACCTCAAATTTAGGAGTATGTAACTTCATAAAATTTGAATACCATTTACTACGCAAAATTTCAGATTACGTCATCAAAATATTGGTTGGGATGATCACACAAATTTTGGTTAGCGATTTACCATGTACACGATATTCCTAAAAGACAAATAAAACTTGACAACAATCAGTCCAGTAGTTTCAAATTATTTATCCAATAAAATCGACACAAACGACAGACAGACAACAGACGAAACGGGAGATCTATTTTCCCATACTCTAAGGCTCATGAAACGTCGAAAAAATATGAAAGTAGCAATTCGTTGGATGAACCCTATTTACAGCGCAAACATCTAGACGGTTTCATAAACCTCCAGTTTAGCAGTGTTATTTCCTAAAATTCGAATACCATTTACTATGCAAAACTTTAGATTCCGTTTTACCATCTACACGATATTCCCAAAATAGAAATAAAACTTGACAACAATCAGTCTAATAGTTTCGTATTATCTGTCCAACAAAATCGACAGAAACGACAGACAGACAAGCAGACGAAACGGGAGACTTATTTTTCCATACTCTAGGAGAAATGAAACGTCGAGAAAACATGAAAGTAGCAATTCGCTAGATAAACCCTATTTCCAGCGTTTTCCTGGCTTACAGTCGGGAAGTGAAAAATCAAAAGAAAATTAGCGTTTTATTTTGCTGGAAATATTTTATTCTACGCAGGATTCAATTTATTTTTATTTAAATTGCGTTATATTTTCGTAATTTGAAAAGAAAATTAAAAAAAAACCAGAGTGATTCAAAATTATCATCATACATATTTTTGAAAATAATCACTTTACCTTTTCTTAAAAACTGTTCTGTATAATCTTAAAACACAAATAAATTGAAGAAAAAAAATTTATTTACAAATTAAATTCAAAATTTAATGTTTGAGAGCAAATTGTTTTTTGCTTGTGTTCAGGGTGCGAAATTCTCAATCAAGAAGGAACTGACTGAAGGCAGATGTTTCTTAAGTGAGGAATCATATAATCATGTGATATTTTGTCTCGAAATTCTAAGGTAAATTAAATAGAACAGAAAAAAGTGTAAACCACGTTTCAAATTTTCCTTTTCTAACATTTCTGTTTCATTTGTCTACATTTGTTAGATTATTTATTGTTAAGTTGGTTTACAGAAAAATTTATAATAATTTTTTAAATCCATTTTTGTGTTTAGTCAGAAGCCCCAATCTTGTTTAAAATATAGCTAAAATTTACTTTAATTGTTAAAATTGAATTGTATTTTCTAAAAATTGTATCTTGACAGTTCGTTCACTTTATATTTCCAAAAAGAAATTAGACAAATCTGATCAGATGAAGATTTATTTAAATAAAAACTATCCACTCAAATTTATTGATTAAAATTGCTCTAAAATAAGCCTTCAAAAGTTTACAAGTTGTGCAATTACTTTTTTTTTTCGGTAAAATACTACTCCTATGATTTTACAAAATATTTTTGTATTTTTTACAATAATATTGGTCTGTTTGTCTCAGGCTGTAACTGTTTTCATTATTAAATATTTTTTAACCAAATCTGACAGTTTGTTTGGTCATAATATGATTAAAACCACTCCAGCCAATTAATGTGGAAGAAAAAGCCCTAAGTGATTTTTAAACAACATAAATCAGCCTTCTGTGAGACGAAACGAGAGCTTTAATTTTTAAAGCGTTATTAAAAGAGAATTACTTATAAATTTTATCCCATGATCTCGAAAAGAATTTTGCTCTCGAAACCATTGTTCAGAAATTCTTTCTGGTTTTGTAATCGTGTGATGGACCACACCATGTGTACTCATTGGAGAGGTTAAATAAATTAACGTACCAGAATTCCTTCATGTAATCTGATTAAATAATAGTAAAGATGAAATAGTTGAACTTGCCGTGATGCACCTAACAATTTTGAGCCAAGTAAATTTTTTTGTCGTACGTAGCGGTTTTTAATTGATCCGGAGTCGGATGTTAAAGGGGGATTAAACACACCATAATGCGAGCAATGTGTGAAAGAATTAAGTGCATGAAAAATGTGTGTGTGAAAAGCAATATAAGTGTGGTAATGAGAGTGCGTGAACCCATTCAGTAGTAAAATTCCAGGCAAATGGTAGCACATCAACAAGCCGTGTGTTTATTTTTGTTTGTTTTTGACTAGCATAATTATCAAAGATATGCGTCCGAGTTTATCACGAGTAAGTCGAGGAATTTTATGAATGGTACATAACTCTACCATAGTAAACTATGTAAAAAGAACACGAAATGTAGGCCACGGCAATTTGTGCTTTATGAAAATCGTATAGAAGGGAGAATAGAAATAGTATGCATCAGGCGAACTTTTCATTGGCCCGGATGTTTTTTAAGGTTCCTTCATTCCTAGAGCGGTAGTGTGAATCTAGAAGTCCAAGAGTTCGGGCACTCCGAAATGTAGTCAGACGTTATGGTTTAGAAAATTTTTTTGGTTTTTTATAATTTGTTGTTTTTGATTGTTTATTATTTTGCGTTAATGGAGAGTGAGCTGGAAAATGGAAAAGGTACGTCAATCACATAACCTTCGCTACACATTATCTTAAATTATGCGCATTTCGTACTTTGTTTTGTTTATGCTTCACGCCAATAAACGCAGTTGTTTACCGCACAAAACGGCCACCGATCCACCCCGATTCGCGAAAATTGACTTCATCATAACCGCACTTTTTGCGCGACCGTCCGTCACCTCGTCACCAAATTCAATTACGGCCAGAGACGCGCGTCGGGGGGCTCGCCGGGGGCCGCAACCCCCGATTCAATTAAAAACAGGAAAGCGACATTTTATTTCATATTATTTCCCAGCTTAATGAACATGTGGCACTTCCACAACCGCCCCACAAGTGCCACATGCTCGCATACCGAAACTGAGCCGATCGGAACCCAGAAAGAAGCTTTCCGAACACATTTTTTACCCCTAATTAAAGAACCTAAAGCTCCGGACGCTTTTACCGCACTTATGCGTCCACCAAAACACCCTTAATCAATTCTAAAATTAATTACCGAACTCCACCGACCAAATCCTCGACGGAATTAACAATTCAGCGGAAGCGCGTTTAATTTTTGACGTAAATCTGATTTATTTTAATGTAATTAAAAATAATGCGTGGTCGCGGGGAAAAGTGGCGCGAATTTCGCCCGGACATTTCTTCACTAATTACAGGGCAGAGAAAAAATAATGAGGAGGGTAAAGTATTCGATTCGTCGATCTACGCATTTCCGGCAGGTGATTCGTGTTAGAAGATATGATTAAAAAATTCGTAGAAAGTTCAAATTTGTGCGTGAGTAATGCGTCCACTGGAGAAATATTTTAAATGACAGTGAATCATTTTAATTGTGATTCATTTAGATTTGGACGAACACGATTGGTTGCAGTATTTTCTTTGTGTTGTTCTTGAGCGACCTTGCTCCTTGGAAAGCTGGTTAAATTATTGGTAAACAATTTGTGAAATCTTACCGTAATAACTGCACCATCCGACGATTGAGGACATTCCATAAAATTCTATCACCTTCACACGCTAATTTAATTAGATTAGAGAAAATGTACTTGCTGGGAGAAGAAATCTCTGGGAGTGAATGCAAACTGCACTTTGTAACGATAAACTTACTAATTTTGACAAAATTTATCCTGATCCTTTTGGTCATAAAGTGAAAATCATATAAATATTAAATTACTACTTTTTAGAAATTTTTAGAATTTTTGTAATTTATTCACTAATATTTTATTAATTTCTACTACATCAGTATCACTTGATTATTTTTTTATTTATTTCATTTAGCTGAAATTAGTAGTTTTAATATTATTCAAAAATAGCCAAACATTAAAAATACCCTAGCTTGTCGCAATCACATTGTAGGCTATTCACAAATATTTTTCTAACACAATAAGTGGAAGCTCATAAAACATTGGCAAACATCAATATATTGTTGTTTTTGGTTTTATTTTCCCTTTATTCTTGTGATCTGATGGTTTTTATTCTTTTTTTCACTTAATTTGCTCATACATAAGTGAAATAAAATCTACTTAAATAGTTTTGAAAGGCTAATATTATATTTTATCAGTTCCACTTAATTCGTTTGAAAAAGATGTATTTTAAGGTGTTTTCCTATGTTTTAAGTCTATAAATAATACAATAGTAAAATTCTTATGAAATTAAAACAGTTGGTATTACCCTATTTCTAATTTTTCTGTTTTATTTGGTGTAGAAATTAACACAATATCTTAGGCATAATATTTACACTTAATTCTAGACACCTATAAAATGGTTAAATCATATTTAAATTGTTCCAGACCTATTTAAGTGTATCTTTCGAAAATCCCGTATTTATTTCAAAAAATCTATATTCAAATATTTTTTGTATACCTAGTTTTTCTTCTGGTTGTAATATTGTTATTTGTTATCTAGCTACTTTTGATTTGAGTTCTCATATTTCATCAGTCTGAATTTCGTACTATAGTGTAATTTATTTTGGATCTTTTATTTCTTTATTTTAAGTCAATTATGAACGCAGCTGTATTGATTTTCACTTTAAGAAATCTTTTTAATTTAACTGAGACAAAATCTGGTTCATAAACTTGTTGAACGCACATTATCTTAAACTTCTACAGCAGAAAAATATTATTTCAATTCTTAGTATAAGTTGGTAAGCAGATTTTTCAGTCCCAATATAGGCAAAACTAATTTTAAACTCAAAATTTAGCGTTTCCAACTAGCTTGTATTACCTAAGATGTAAAAATATTTGTTTATTAATCAATACATACATTACCACCAATTTCATCAAAGTAGGTATTGGCATGTGCCGCCTTGTTGAAACAAGGGTTGTAATCAAATTAATTAAGACGTTGCGAGGCAATTTATATCCAATTTCTAGACGCCATTTATAAGTATTTCGTTTTGTAGCTGATTAGCGAATAGACATTTGCTTAAAAATGAAATAAAAGTGAAATATGGCTTCATTTTTAGAGAAAAACTGCTTATGCTTTAAACATACACTATACTGTGATTAAATTTTGTAGATTTTTCTTGAGCAAGATTATTGTAATGAAACAGTTTAGTTAAAAGAGGTAAAAGCAACTTCATACAGTTTATTTAACTAAATTATGCTTTAAAGCTTCTCGTGTTTTATTTAATCTTCAGTAGAAGCTGACATATTTTTCAAGGGTCAGCTTAATGGAGTAAAAATAAACAAAAATGTAGCTTCCCCGACTAGGAGTGGGTTTATTAAGACAATTAAGTATGAGCTTTGAATGATCATAAATATTGCCATCAATCCAATTAAATTATTTATTGACATGTGCCGCCTTGTTGAGACAAGGATTATAATCAAATTATCAAGCTGACGATGATGTTGCATCGCTAAAGTATTATGTGAATAAAAAATTAAACACAACAAGAAATACTTCAGTTGCCTTAGTGAGTCAATAAATAAATTTACATTTTTAGATGCTTTCATGTATCAAAGAAAAATAAATTGTCAAAATTGATCTTTTTAAAGAATTTTTATAAATAAGTAAAGTAATAAATTCATTGAAGATATTAAATTTAGAAAACAGAGAAACAAACATGTGTATACTTTTATTATATCGAGTTTTTCCTTTCTTTATTTTTTTATGCGATATAGACCAGTTCAGTATATATCACAAATAAATTTTTGTTCAAATACCGCACGGAAGTCAAAAATATTCTTGAAATTTCTAATCTCTAACTTTACCGCAGTCAGTCCAATATCTTCCTTTTATTTCCACCCAACCACTTCCATGCCTCACATTTTAACGACCATTTTTTATGAATCCATCAATCCCTTGTTTATTTTGACGAAATGAAGACCTCCACTTCTCCCCACATAAACTCCCCACCATAAACCCTCCACCTCCTTTATCATATCGCTACAAGCTTTTCATTTTAAAAATCATTTATTACCTCTCACTAATTAAATTCCGAAAGCTTCCATGTGCCGATACGCAGCGACAAGGGACGCGACTAGCCAGGTCATAGATTAGCCGAACCGGCATGGGAAACGTCCTGGGTCTATGAAGGGTGGTTTTTAACCCAAACCGAAGCGTTCAATGCACTTTATAGTCTATTTTAAGACGCAAAGGTACGAACGCCCTAAGCTTCCTCCGGATGCAACAGCGAAGAGCGAGCAAATGCCAACTCGACACGTGAATGATAACAATTATGTTTTTGTGAGGAAGCCGGAAGAATGAGACGTCGTAAATAATCCTACGACTTCGTAACATTTTTATTTTCATTAATGTCAGATAAATATAGCTATTGATCTGTTGTTGTCGGAGGATCCTGGCGCTAGAATTTCGCGCACGCCACTGTCCTAGGTAACTAGATATTTGGGCAGGTATTGTTGGAAACTACCCCTGTCAAGCAACCCTTGTACTGGCCCGGCTGCATCCTCAAACGGGCCATTGTAGTAACCGCGGGAAAATATAACCGCTCCTTCAACGTGTATTTAACTATTCACCAATTTTTTCCAAGTAGACATAACGAAAATATTCTAGACAAAAGTTAGTGTGGTCGGTCTAGGAATTTTGGGGTTTCTAGCACATTGTTCGCTGGACGGTGTTTATGTAAAGAGTTTCCATAAACTTGTTCTTTAACAAGCGGTTCCCCATTTTTGGAATTTATTAACTGCGAAAGGGGTGCTCCAAAATCACCAAAATGCTCAAAATTACACCGGATAGGAGATTTTAATCGAGCTTTTAAGCTTGATTTTGTAAAATATATTAACCCTAATACATTTACTTCAAAAAAATGTAGCAGCTTAAAGCGTGGTGTTTATTGGAGTGAAAAAAGTCAATTCTAACTAGATATGAAGAAAATTTCACTGTCGATTTTGTGTACAAGAATTGTCTGTATTGTAAAAATCTGTGTTGTGTAATTTTTTCAAAAATTTTGTGATATCACCTTGAAACTGTAACTGATTTGAAAGCGTCATACAGACAAAGAACATTATAATTGATTTAGGAGTTTTGGGTTTTCCAGCATCATACCGCTTTCTTGGAATCTTCAGATGGTTGATCAAGATTCGGCGAGATGTTATAATTAAAAGTCCAGGGAAAATACTCCTTTTTTGGTTGCCTTGGGTTAAGATTCGAAAAAGATTTAGGAATGTCTTAAATCACTTTTTTTTAGAAATACATATTTACATACCAGTTTTTAAATAACCAAAGTACGCAAATCGTCATCCGTGACGTCAAATGTTATTTAATATTTAATGGTATGTTGTTATTACTGTGTTCAATTATTATTATTATATGCATTTGTATTTGAAATCTGTACCAATCTGGTGTATAGTTTACCTGCCTGGTCGTCTTCGTTTGTTTAAACAATTTACATTGCAAATCGTTGTTTTTCTCAAGTTCTTCGAACAGAGCACTTTATATTTCATAGTTTCTAATTTATTTACCTGACTAAGCTTTCATTTCACACCGGCGTTGTAGAAGTTTATGTTGGCAGATTTTTAATTAGCTTTAACTAAAAGCTAACACCTTTGTTATGACCTGACAATGTATATGATTTATTATTTAACAGATAGTTATCATTATCAAATATATTTTAAACTTACCGTTGGTTATTTAACAGATTAAAGCAACTAAAACTAGACAGTTACATTTTAGAATTACAAGTCAATAAATTCTTATATAAATTTTCTCTGTGATGTTCGATTTGATAAGAAATATAAAACAAATTAAAAAATTCACAGAACATTTACTTCTGTGTTTCAAAGTCGCGTTCTCCTGAGTCAGAAGGTTTTTTCTTAGAACAGGCAAAAGAAAGTTCTTATCCGTTTTTTTATGGCAAAAATAAAGTTAAAACTCAACCATATCTTCTAAATAGATTGGAGTGGTATTGATTTAATCAATTTTAATTGTTCACCCTCTTTTTAAACAGATGCAAGTACTTAAAATAGTGAAGGCAAAAGTCACAATCTCTGGTCAAGGGATTCTACCCTCAGGTTCTGTAATATATGCAAAAAGTTCCAACAAACTCGTTTTTTGATGGACACTTCCCTCTTCTTGGAAATTTTCAGGAGGGTTGAAATTCTGCCATTTTTAAAGATGGCAGTTAGTTTTTTACGTCAGTAGTAAAATTTGTGAATATAAGAATAGTCGAAAAAGTGTGTCACGCTATTTTTTTTATAATTTTTCCTGTTTCAAATACAAAGCTCTGAAGAGGCACTGCATGCCGAAACATCTTAGAGCTGTGTTTAATAAAATAAAATGCAGCAGTAAATCATGTAAAACTTTTTCGTGATTTTTATTTTCTCTAAAACACCCTGAGCTCGATATTTCAATTTCATATTAACCCAAATAATGGTTCCGATAGCACTGAGATTGAAGGATAGAAAATTAAATATCGAAGTCGTTCTAATCCCCATCAAGATTAATTTTCTTCGCTTCTTTTGGGATATTACATCTTGCATCCTGTGTCGTTTTCAACTAAAATAATCCCTTATTTGTATAACTTATACCTTATACCCATGTTCAGTTAAAACAAAATTAGGTATAAATAGAATGAACTGTAATAAATTAAAAAAAATGTATAGTTTCTTATTTTGTTTTCAGTGAGTCACACTATGTTTAAACATTCTGATACTGTTACTTGCACGTAATTCGAGATCTTTTAATTACTAAAAATTTTCACGACATTCCTCAGATACTTCACTTACAATCTAATTAATAGCATTGACAGCTTCCTATTTGAGTCACAGAGTATTTTCGTGACTAATGCATTCGATTACAAATAAAGAAAACATTTTGGAAGGTGAGCCTTGAGGAGCTTAGGTCCTGTTGTCAAAAATGTGCTCGTATACCAGAAGTTATTTTATTTACATTAATGCACAGAACATTTCATAACACCTAAATTAAGAAAATAAAAAATGTACCATTTAGTTAAATGTTCGGTTTCACTTTCCTAACAGCTTTGGCGCTTTATCGTGGAGTTATCTTCTCAGTAACTGTAGAATTTTCATATCTACAAATTTAAGTTGATATATCCGGAAACGATAAACATGCAAATATTTGCAGATTTTCGTTAACAATACTTAATATATTGTTTATAGAAACGTGTTTACATGTAAGCGCCATATTCAATTTCCACGTGTTTGTTAACTTAGTAATCGGAATAATTTTAACATTTTTAACAACGTCAATTTATATACATACTTTTAAATAAAAATTTTATTGTGTTATTGCTGAGTGTGTCGTGGGAAAATAATTAAAATAGACCAGTTATTCTGGATTGTGTAGTTATGGTTCAAGATTGTAACAAGTGCAACTAGTTTCAACAGTTTTAACATTATCCAATTGCTTCTTGTTATAAATCACCCGAAAATCTATGTTTTAACCTAAAATTAGTACGAAATATGTATTTATCTCAAACTTATATTTAGTTTTTGTGATCTAAATTCAGTTTGTTTTTAAACAAGTAAATATTTAAGAGAACACTCTTAAAATGAGTCATGTTCAAATTTCTTTCTCAGAAATGAGTGAGCTTTGATTGCCAACTTTTCTGACATTTAATTTTTATTTTTCTGTTGCTGTTTGCTCTTGAACTTCTAATAATTTGTGATACAATTAAACGTTGAATTATTAATTGTTGTAAAACGTAAGAGAAGCTGGGATGGCCGACAAAGATCACATTACGTGATTGCAGAAGCTAAGAATGAACCTGCTTTTCTAAAAATATCACAAAATAGCATCTAGTTAGTCGTAACGAGATTGCTACTAACACAAAGGTCACAAAGATTTTCTAAATTAGTGCACACTCGAGAAGCTAATACCTTTCAAATAGCACACATATCAGCCACATTTTTCATGGATTTATCTTCAATCCCTCGTAATTATATACTCTGAGCTGACTTTTTTATTTTTTGGTTTCAAATATATTCAATACAGCTTAATATAACAAACTCAACTAAGTTGTTGATGAACAACAAACATAGCGTTCCTATTGCTTAGACAACACGTATCGTGAAACCTTAGCAGCTTTTCCAATTTTTCCAACTGAGAAACTCAGGACCCAAAATTAGGCGTTAAATACGGGTTTATAGTTTTGAAAATAAACAGATTACTAATATTTTTGAAAATATAACTCACACTTAGTCGCTTTAGTACGAATTTTAGTCATCTCACAGCTCCCACGAACCGTTGTGATTTGTCATTTCACATTACCATTAAAACTCCATGACAAAGAAAAACAGAAAGTCTCTCGTTATAAGCAAATATGCATTTTACCACGTGGCCTTCATCAAAGGACAACTAGTAGTCCATTTGACGTCGACTGCTTAGCACGACCGAAGAATACTGGGAAAATGACAAATTCGGCTTAGTTATCGAGCATGTTGCAGAGTGCCTTTATCAGAAAAAATCGTAATCGCTCGGCCATTATGTAGTTGATTATAATAAAATGAATCATTATAGCGAGCACGTTCTAGTTCAAATTTCCGGTGTTTAATTAAGATATAGCAGTTAAGTTAATTAGATTATTCTAAACATGGTAATTTTTGCAGGATCCGAAGGCGGAAGTGCAAGCCAAGGAGGTTCGGAAGCAAGTTTCGGTCTTAGAAGGGGAAAATGCAAATGGTTTAACGTAGCGAAAGGATGGGGTTTCATTACTCCCGATGATGGGGGACAAGACGTTTTCGTCCATCAGGTAATCGAGCTATTAATTTTTAATGGGCCAAATGGTAGAGGGGCATTTTCATGGAAAAAGTGGCGGTCGGAGCTAACAGTTTAATGGTAAATTGGCGTAAAGTCGAGCAGTAATTGCAGGAAAAATGAAAAAGTAACGAGTCGTTTTTGTTCTGTACTCGGAAACTTTTACTGAATGACATAATTGTACTTTTGCAATTATAATAACTATTAAATCGGAATTATAAAACGGTTCTAATTAAATCTGCTATGTTAAAGTAAACGACAAAAATTCGAATACAATTCGAAATTACAGAAGGGGTATGATTTCTACCTTAGCTTCACTTATTCGAAAGTTCCAATTATTTTTCCAGAGTCGCCAAAATGATTTTGAAACCGAATACTTCGAACATGTTTAGGAAAATATTGGAAAATTACCCTAAGAGATCTTTTTGTTAATTTCTACTTACAAGTCGAAATAAACAAAAAGATATGGTTGGGTAATTTTCGAAAGTGTTCGCAAAAAGGTCCAATTTTTCATAAGGGGGTTGCAATTCTCACACACTGGGGGAGATAGAAATGAAAATACTCAAGGGCCTGTTCCAAAAATAATGCGATTATGACGCCTCCTATGTGAGTGCTATTGATGATAGTTCTAGCCGTTCCTATAGAATCGGTTTTTCATACGAGTTGTATTGAAAAACAAGATTCCGGAAAGATTGGGTGATTAAAAATGATAAAAAGTCATATTTGCACAGAAAAGATTTGTCTACCAGATCAAAATAATCCAAAGTCGATACATCGACTGATATTCGAAATATTCGGTTATAAAGTCGAATTTTTAAAATATCTCAAAATTTTCCATACATCGTTTTGTCAATTCTGGAAAAATAGTAACAACTGTCGAAGAACTGAGGCTGAAAAATAGTTTCTGAAGTTTGAAATCTACAAAAAAGTCTCTCTGAGTAATTTTCGTAGATGGTCAAATAAAGGTCCAAAATTTCGCAACTTCGGACTATTGAAAAATTGAGCTTTTGAAAAAGTTATACAAAAATCCATCAAAAAATTCTGGGTTGTAGATTTCGACGAGCTGAATCGAAAAATATAGTGGACCCGTACAAGATTCCAATGGATTATTCAAAATTTTGGCACAATCGTGATATTTTCATTAACGACATATTCGGCCGATTCTGGAAAAGTTGACTTGTTAAAAATTATGAAAAAAAAATGTATTTACACAGAAAAGACCCGTCCACAAGCACAAAATGATGTAAAGTGGATACATCGACTGGTTTTCGAAATATTCGGTTTCAAATTTAGATTTTTAAAATATCTCAAAATTCACCATGTTTCATTTTGCCGATTCTGCAAAAATGGTATGAAATGTCGAAGAGCTGAAACCGAAAATAACTTCTCGTTGTTGAAATCTACAAAAACGTCTCCTTAAGTAATAAAATAAGTACATTTCAAAAATTTTCGGAGAAAATGGAAAATTTCATACTGAAAAATTGAGCTTTTGGAAAAGTTGTCCAAAAATCCATACAAAAATCTGGGGTGTAGATTTCGACGAGCTGAACCGAAAAATATAGTGTGTCGATGGATTCGCACAAGATTCCAATAGATTATTGAAAATTTTGGCACAATCGGGATATTTTGATTAGTGATTTATTCAGCCCGATTCCTAAAAAAGTGGGTTGTGAAAAATTATAAAAAAAATTGTATTTACGCAGAGAAGATCCATCCACAAGCTCAAGATAATGCAAAGTCGATCCATCGAAATATTCGGCTTCAAAATTACATTTTTAAAATATCTCAAAATTTACCATATTTAATTTTGCCGATTCTGAAAAAATGGTAACAAATGTCGAAGAGCTGAAGTCGAAAATAATTTCTCGAGGTTGAAATCGACAAAAAATTCTCTTTAAGAAATTTTCGAAAATGCTCGAGAAAGGTCGAAAATTTCATATTGAAAAATTGAGCTTTTGGAAAAATTGTGCAAAAATCCATAAAAAATTGTAGGATGCAGATTTCGACGAGTTGAACTCAAAATTCCAATGGATTATTCAAAACTCTGACACAATCGTGACATTTTGAATAATGACATATTCAGCCCGATTTCGGAAAAAATTGGTTATCAAAAGTTATGAAAAAAAAAACATATTTGCACAGAGAGAATCCGTCCATAAGAACAACATAATACAAAGTCAATACAATGACTGATTTTCGAAATATCCGGTATGAAAATCAAATTTTTAAAATAACTCAAAATTTACTAGACTTCATTTTGCCGATTCTGGAAAAATGGTACCAACTGTCGAGGAACTGAAACCAAAAGTATTTTCTCGAAAAGTAATTTCTCGAAGTTAAAATCTACGAAAAAGTTTTTTAGGTAATTTTCGAAAAAAAGTCGAAAACTTCAAATTGAAAAATTGAGCTTTTAGGAAAATTTGTCCAAAAATCCACAAAAAAATTATGGAATGTAGATTTTGACGCGCTGATTCAAAAACCATAGTGTGTTGATGGTTCCGCACAAAATTCCAAGCGATTACTTAAAATTTTGCCATAATTTTGACATTTTGGTTAATGGAATATTCAGCCCGATTCCGGAAAAATTGAGTTGTTAAAAATTATAAAAAAAATTATAGTTACACAGAAAAGACCCGTCCAAAAGCACAAAATAATGCAAAGCCAATACATCGACTGGTTTTCGAAATATTCGGTTTCAAAATCAAATTTTTAAAATATCTCAAAATTTACCGGACTTCATTTTGCCGATACTGGAAAAATAGTAAGAATTGTCGATGAACTGAAGCCAAAAATAATTTCTGAACGTTGAAATCTACAAAAGTTTCTTTAAATAATTTTCGAAAATGCTCGAAAAAAGATCAAAACTTTCATATCCGACTACTGAGAAATTGCGGTTTTGGGAAAGTTGTCCAAAAAAATGTTGGGATGTATACTTTAACGTGCTGATTCGAAAACATAGTGTGCTGATGGTCCCACACAAGATTCCAAGGGATTATCGAAAATTTTGCCACAATCTTGACATTCCGGAAAAACTGGGTTGTTAAAAATTTGGAAGAAAATCATATTTGCACAGGGAAGACCCGTCCACAATAACAAAATAATGTAAAGTAGAAACTTCGACCGATTTTCGAAATATTCGGTTTTAAAGTTCAAATTTTTAAAATAAGTATCTCAAAATTTACCTTACTTCATTTTGCCGATTCTGGAAAAATCGTAAGACTTGTCCATGAACTGAAGCCGAAAATCATTTCTGGAGGTTGAAATCTACAAAAAAGTCTCTTTAGGTAATATTCCAGGGTTCTCGAAAAAAGGTGAAAATTTCATATTCGACTATTGAACAATTGAGCTTTTGGGAAAGTTGTCCAAAAAAATTCAGGGACGTAGATCTCGACGCATGTTGATGGTCACGAGGCAACATTTTCGAAAAAATCGGTACAAAATGTGAATTTTTGAAAATTAAAAAATTTCGATATTTCAACGGTCGATTCTGGAAAAAGGGTTGCAATTATCAAAGAACCGATGCTGGAATTGAGCTCTAGAGCTCGACATCTACAAGAAAATGTGTTGAGTTAAGTTTCGAAAATGCCAAAATTTTTGCGAAATTTGAAGATTTAAAGATTAAAAAATTTCAATTTTTAAAAAGTTGCCTTCTCGAAAAAAGGTGAAAATTTCATATTCGACTATTGAAAAATTGAGCTTTTGGGAAAGCTGTCCAAAAAATCCACACAAAAAATCTGGGATTATCGAGAATTTTGGGACAATCTTGACATTTTGATTAATGGCATTATTCAGCGGCATTCCGGAAAAATTAAGTTGTTAAAAATTTTGAACAAAAATGGTATTTATACACAAAGGACCCGTCCATAAGAAACAAATAATACAAAGTCAATGGTTTTCGAAATATTCGGTTTCAAAGTCAAATTTTTAAAATATCTCAGAATTTTTCATACTTCATTTTGCCGATTCTAGAAAAATAATAGAAACTGATGAAGAAGTGAAGCCGAAAATAATTTCAGAAAGTTGAAATCTACAAAAAAGTTTGTTTGGGCATTTTTCGAAAATGCTCGAAAAAAGGTCTAAAATTTCATATTCAAAAACTGAGGTTTTGGAAAAGTCCAAAAATCCACAAAAAAATTCTAGGATGTAGATTTTGACGTGCTGACTCGAAAAATATAGTGCGTTGATGGTCCAGCACAAATTCCAACCGATTATCGACAATTTTGCCATAATATTAACATTTTGATTAATGGCATATTCAGCGCCATTCCGAAAAAATTGAGTTAAAAATTATGAAGAAAATCATATTTGCACAGAAAGGACCCGTACACAAGTACCAAATAATGATTGGTTTTCGAAATATTCAGTTAGAAAGTTAAATTTTTAATAAGTATATCTCAAAATTTATCATACTTTATTTTGCTGATTCTGGACAAATAGTAAAAACTGACGAAGAACTGAAGCCGAAAATAATCTCTAGAGATTGACTACAAAAAAGACTCTTTAGGTAATTTTGGAATGTGGTCCAAAAAAGGTCAGAAATTTTATAAATAAAGGCTACTTAAAAATTAAGCTTTTGGAAAAACCATCTAAATATCCAGAAAAAATTTTTGAATATAGATCTCGACGTGGTGATTCCAGAAATATAACGTGTCCAGAACAAGAGTTTCGAAAGAGGTACTGTCACGATTCACATGGTCGATTGTGGAAAAATGGTAGGAATTATCTGAAAAACGATGCCGAAAATAACATCGAAATCTTTAAAAAAATCTGTTTAGGTAATTTTCAAAAGTGGTCGAAATAAGATCGAAAATTCCATATTTACCTAAAAATCCACAAAAAATAAAAAAATTGTCATATTTCATTTTGGCCTTTCTAGAAAAATGGTAGAACTGAAGCAGAAAATAAGTTTTGGAGGTCGAAATCTGCAGAAAAAAATCTGTAATTTCTGAAAGTGGTCGAGAACAGATTGAAAATATTGAAAATTTGAGCTTTTGG